CTTTCCAAAGGCACAGTGCAAAATCAAATAGCAAAATGATCCTTGGTATGACTTTCTTAAAACAATTCCATATAGCTTAGTAGACTATCTGGGGGGACTATCTGTTGTTCCATGTAGTGAATCTGTTATTCAATGCATTTGTATGGGCTAAAAGCAGTAAGGCCAAAAATACATTTTCTTAAAATTCTAAATCAAATAGCAAAATGATCCTTAGTAAGACCTTCTTAAAACAATTCCATATGGCTGCTCCCCCAAATGAGGCTGTTTTTGACAGGGACTTGGAACTCTCCACACCAGCCTATTATCAAGTCCTCCCACACATAGTTCAGGGAGGGGCGAGACATGCCGCTAAAATCTCCCATCCTAGAGTATCCACAAACCAGACATGTAAAACGCAGGCTGCTTTGGTCTAATCCCCCAAATGAAGAGCTTACTGAACAGTGAACATCCTCCGATTCATCATTTGGAGTCACAATTCTCTTCCAACTCAGCTCCATATTGGCCCTCCTGTAGCTCAGTTGGTAGTGCATGGCGCTTGCAACGCAAGGGTTATGGGTTCGTTTCCCACGGGGGGCCAGTATGAAAAATGTATGCACTCACTAATTGTAAGTCACTCTGGATAAGAGCGTCTGCTAAATGGTTTTAAAAAATAATGTCTCCAGGGCACAACTGCTGCCCCCACTCTAGGTTCAGCAAATGTTATTGTTCAGACAATTCAAATGTCAATGTGACAACTCTATAAACAGAACATGTAAGAGTCTTCCAGAGGTCTTTATGATTATTTGCTGTTGCATTCAGATCCACATTATCACAGTTTGTTAAGAAGCAATGCTGTAGAACCACTGATCCCATTATTTTCTGTTCACGCCTAACATACATGGCGGAACCTGATTAGGTAAGGTGAGCATTCGGTCATCACCCAGGTGGATGCTTCACATTGACATAGATTAATTGACTTTACCCCTAAATAATGTAACTTTAGGGTATCTCTTACAGACCCAGAGGAAAGCATTTAAAAAATGCATTCCATAACTGTAATGCTTCCCATCTAGTTGTGTTTATCATGTGTTGAAATGTGTCTGTGGATAATACATTCAGAGCAACATCTGCATGGAACATCAGAACAAAAAGCCTAAAACCCAAAACAAGAAAACAAGCACTTATCAATGTCAGAAAAAGCCCAAACCAGTATTTTCAAAGTTCTTTGCATTTTCTTTTACTAGCTCAATTTGGCCTTTGGAATGTAATGTTGCGGGCTAAGAATTCAAAAGACAGACTAAAATGACAGAAAGATGGAGGTGGTTGAGCAAGCATGAAGGACGCATCACTTTTTTCCTTCGTACTCTTGCTGCTGCTGCTTCTACATCTCCTTTGTCATAGGCTAGGTCTGTAATTTCAGAGGGCAGGCTAGGAGGGGGGACAAAGTGAAGAGAGGAGCAGCATCTTGAGTTTCCCCTTTGCTCTCTGTGTTCTCTCCTCACACTGTGTCCCACCATCTCTGCTTCTTCTCATGCTGGGCCTCAATTAACATTCCTTGTCTTAGCCTGTCGAGGCACTATAAATCGCTTGCGCTTCACCTCTTTTTCGTGGTCACACTCCCTTCTTCCTCCTGTAATGAAAAGAGAAAGAGAGCTGAGGCATGATCCTCTTTCCCTCCCTCAGATATCCAGTGGCCTCGTTGTAGTTTGAGAACCTTTATTTTCACAACCTCAGCCCTTCTACATCTCTTTGTAGCTCCCTTTTCTCTCTGATATTAAATCATGTTATAAAATATTATATATTATTGCATTAAGCATGGGGGATGAGTGTTTAAATAAGCATAAACCACAGTTTACATTTCAGGAAGAAGCCACCATTTTGGAAATCTAGAACATCCCTTGATGGCTGAAATTGAGGGTTGTAAAACCATGATGTACAGTTGGGGAACTTGGGAGTCTCTTTGCTGCAGGCAGTCCCCCTTTGAGGACATTAATTTCACCCTTTTCAGTACCTCCAAATGTGATGAGAGTCCACACTGGCCTGACCGCCAAACATTCCCATAAGGAATTCCTCACCAATAACTCCCAATCGGCATCCCTCTGAGGATTCTTCAGTGTGCTTTTGAATGTGACAGGAGCAACAGGAAACCCTAATGTTCAGGCATGAGTCTTATAATTCTTCAAACTATAGAGCCCTATAGCCTCGGGAAGGATAAGTACAAAAGTGCAACTTTAACTGCCCTTCCCTTCTGCCGATCCCAGTTTTAGACATACTTCTCCATAGTCACTTATCTTCAGACTGCTTCACAGAAATGCAAAATATGGGCACAGATTATCAGATAAATGTCTGACTTCCTTTTGGAAGACTAACAATGCAAGGCCATTGTTGCGGAAATCAACTTCTCTTCACTCTCTCTCCTATGCAAGGACACACAGCTGTACTGTGGATTTTTCAATGCGGTTGCCATGTGTATGAAGTAGTGGTAGTTCTTCCAAAACTCATGAGAGCCATTTGTCCACATAAACTAGGATTGTCAACTAATAGTGCAGTTATATGACTCAAAACATAAAATAGGCATGGTAAGCTTTAGGCTACAGAAGTACAAAAAAAAACACTGGGCAAAAAAACAATGTTGTTTCCACGTCATTTCAACAACAAAATAATCGATGTATTGACGTTGAATCAAGTTGGAAAACTGATTGGATTTGCAAAAAGTCATCAACGTAAGGGTCTTTTCACTCAATTCTTTTTAACCTAAATCCAATGACAGGGTGAAATTTGTTGATTTCATGTTTAATTCACGTTAGTTGATAACTCAGTTCAACGTCTAGTTTTGATTTCCATTTGGCTAACGTCTGTGCCCAGTGGGTATTTGCCCAGTGGGTATTTGCCTATGCTGACATCTTGTGACTTCAAGGTGAACTGCAACATATTTCACAACAAGTAGTAACCTGAAAACAATGTTCTGCATTGGTACAAGGCATACCAAGACAACGGACATAATCAAGCAAACACAAATCAAGTGACGGATCATTTAATGATCTGTAGATTTTAAACAACCATTTATTTTACAGTTTAAAATGTCCTCATAGAGAAACAACAAAATACACTCAAAATTATGAAATAAGATTGATCAAAAGACAGTTTACAATAAATCATTTTGTTTTTGGGGTATTTTCTTGTCATTTGTATACAAAAATTATAAGTGCCTTCAACATCACCATGAGAGTATTCAGCCTGCAGTTATAGAAATATTTACACCACAAAAACTGAGAATCATGGTTTACTTTCTGCATCGGTTCACAACAAGCTTTGTCTCTTTCGGACTGCTTTGTTTTGTCACACAAAACAAAATATGAGGACCCTGAACGGAGACAGTAATAAGGGAAAGTACACAAGAGCACATATTAAGAACATGAGTATTTACAGAATTGGTTGAGGGAGACACTAGTTCAGGGAAAGGAAAGAGAGCGAGAGTTTACACATCCATTCCCAGCATTGTTTAAAGTTCAAGTCACATTCGTTGCCTTACGGATTGGATTTACCCTTTACTTATTCAAGTTAAGCATGCTACAGCTGTCATTGAGTAATTTACTTTTTGACTTTGGGAACACATATTGGTATCCAGGAGTATTTTCAGAGGAACAGTAGGGGGCAGAGGAGGACACAAGGAGAGAGACAGAAGGACTATGCTCACCGGTTTGCTAAACAGTAACCACAATTCAACATCAAATATAACTTTGGAGGACACAGGGAGAGAGACAGAAGGACTATGTTCACCAACATCAAATAGAACGGTTTATGGCACTCCATGGAAATGAGGACAGGATTTCACAATGGAGTAGTAGTATGTATGCTGTAACAGGCTGGTCTGATGAAGAAAAAATATTTTAAAAAAAAGTCCAAAAGGAGGCTGTTACAGTAAATATGAGTGACAAATACAAAGTCAAGTATGAAAATAGGTTCTGATTATTTAGATACATTTTGTGTGTGTGTGTGTGGGGGGGGGGGGGGAGTCTTTGAAAAAGAGATTCTGGCACAGAATCAATTCTAATAACAAAAGTTTGTAAATGTCACTCCTAGGAGTTTTGTAGGGGTCCTTGCCAGTTGCCAGCCCTCACCACCCCCAAAAGATTGATAGTGATGAGCTGTCATATAATCCACTTGGCCTCCTTACATCTTAATCTTTAAATATTTATAATATTTACAGTTTTGCAATTGTCTACAACACCTTGACTTGAAAAGGAGACAAACAAAAATAAACAAATTATATATATATTAGCCTGTTGAGGCATTAAGTGCAAACTGTACAACTCAAATAGTACCCTCCGAGGATAGAGTTGACTCTGGAAATGAAGTAGAAGGAAATCAAGTTGGCGGATGGTAGAAGAGTAAAAGCAGTACAGAAGATTGATGAAGCAGACATACTTTTTTTCAATTTTTCTCTTGCACAAGCAAAGCTGGTCACTGGAGCATGTATATTATAATAAGTATCATTTTATTCCCAAATCTGTACAAAGTTCATGTTTTTTTTATTTCCTTTTTTATTTTGTTTTCTCAACATAGTGCAATGACTGATCGGATCTGTTTACTAAGAAAATTCCAAGAAAATAAAATAATAATCACAATCATTATTTCAATGACAGTAAAAACATCCCTTAGCCGTCTTTTTCTTTTCGTTCCTTCGTCCCCTCGAATGCTTTCAATCAGGTTTACCTCCAAAGATGGCAAAAGTGAAATGGATGATCATAGAATTGATCATGAAAACTCCCAATCCACCCTTCCGTACGCTCTCCGTAAAGGCAGAGAGTTGTGGAATCAGAGGTGGAAGGATGACTTAAGGACTTGGTGAAGAGAAGAGAAGTAAGAGTGAGTGCATGTTTTAAACACAAAAAAGGTCAAACCCATCCAAACTGAGGCATTTCCAGTTTTCTAACCTGGATGAAAGTCCAAAAAGGCTGGTGTTGGCTTGATTCTGTTGGGTTCTAGAGAATTGAGTTTTTTTATTGGAGGTATTACACGGAGGCAATGACAATCATGATGTGAGGGGAGATGCTGGAGATACTGTTGAGAAGGTCGGGGGCGAGCCGCGACAGGTGGCTCTCAGAGAACTCACACGGCGGGAAAATCTGCACCACGTATGCTGGCTGGGGAAGGAAGAGACAAGACAAGTGTCAGTTGTGTTTCCACCCTCATTGTTTGAAATCAGATAAGTACCATACTCCCATCTCCACCTAATGTTTACTTGAATACAGAAGGGCCATTACAAGTCCATTTGAAATGGATGCTGATATGGCTTAACAGTCAGAATGCACCACATACCTGATTGGAGCCGGGGTTGGGGACATTGATGATCCCAGCTGCCTGTTTTTGCTGTAGGTAGGTGATGAAGCCTCCTTTCAGGAGAAGGGTCTGACTGAGAACGTCCTCCTGATCCCGTCCACATGGCAGAGCTAGCAGGAGGCAGTAGTCACTCTCCACCTGTAAACAACAACAATCAAATTGGTTGTGCTTTCATCTGAAATTTTCCTGAAATATTAAGCATGTTTACATTCACAGTTGTAATGAGAACTAGTTGCCTGCAAAGAAAACATTACCAAAGAGTGTCCTAGTTTGAAAACATTTTGCAAGAATCGTGATAAAATGCATTATTTAAATGGTGAACAACTAGCAACTCACCATCATCCTGCGAGCCACGCCCTCGAGCTGGGACGCTTCCAACCTCATCCTCTGTGCGATGCGGAGCGGGGCCCCTCCCTCCAGGGGCGGCAGTGAACGGTGGGCCAGAACGTTGTTACCAGAGACAAAGTGGAGCTGCACGGCAGCCGAGTCATTCTTCAGTGCCAGCAGGCCTTGCCATACTATGGGGTATTTCTGCACAAACAAAAGTGGAGAAAAGACAGATCAGTGAAATAGATGACATTTTAAGTATAAGCAATATTATCTAAACTGATTTCTAATTCTAATCTATCCTTACAAATGATGACTGAAAGTCTTCAGTATTGTTTTAATTCCCATGATCAGCCTCCTTACCGTTAAAAGCTGCACCATATCGACGGGCCGGTATCCTGAGTGCCCCAGTTTACCCTCAGGGTGCAACTGTGAGGAACTTGAGAGGGGTGCTACTGGAGGGCTCGGCATGAAGACTGGTGGGCCGTTCTGCAGAGCTAGCTCTTGCTTGTGGGAGAGAGCCATGGGAGACGTATAAGAGGGTGAAATGGTGTCCCTCTGCATCCGGGGCATGTGAGATAAGTCGATGGAGGCTGTGTGACAGAGGTGGGAGTTGTCCGATTTGGTTTCACTTCCTCTACCAAGTGATAGTGACTGAGATAGCTTGCCCCTGTGGCCGAGATCACAATCCTGAGGAACCCCCCCCCAAAAAAAAGAGATGTAGCACATAAGCAAAAGTGTAGAAACATAGGTACCGTATAAGACTTCAGTGCTGCCTGCATAGAAGTCATGTAGGAGAGAAACACTGTAAAATAACAGTCAAAGTAAATCCTAACTGAAAACACTGGAAAAACACTAAACAGCTGATAAACTAATTAACTAAATGTAAACATGAATGCATAGTTCTCTGACCTGGGAAGGTGTGATGCCGCAGGGAGCCAGGTTCAATCCCATTGAAGAGTGACTGGAAAACTGGGAGTGGAAGCCCTGCATATCCCGGTACACTGGGAAGGAGCCGGCGCCACCTGGATGAATCAGCTGAACCCCTTGAGGATGATGATGAGGAGACACCATAACAGGAATGGATGGATGGACCCCAATGGTCCTGCTGCTCTCAGTATGAGGTGGGTGAGGCTTTGCCTCCAATGTTTTGGGAATCTCCTTTCGCATCTGCGCCATGCCTTTTGGACTCTTGGAGGCAGCAGAGAGGTTGGTGATTGAGGTTGCTCCTGCCTCAGGAGTTCGTGACTGACGTCCCTCTGCGATGGTGTGCTCTCCTAGCTGATGGTGCATCAGGATGCGCATGTCCCGTATGTCGCGCATGTCTCTGATGTCTCGTGAGGCCATGCTGTACTGGTCCAGACGTAGGCCTGCGTGATGCAGCCCTCTGTGCTGCTCTGCCTGCATCATCATCACATCTGACTGGAGCTGGGATGCAGAGGGTCTGCACAGCCCCTGCTGGTAGTGCCTCATGTTCTCTTCGGCGCAGCTGTCAGAGGTTCCCCGAGTGGGGCCCACGTGTGACTGCAGCACCATGTCTCTGATCACGGCTAGCGTGTTGGAGCGCTGAGGAGGTCCAGTGTGGGGAGACGGCAGGGAATCCACCCGTCTTCCATAATTCATTCCAGAGAGCTGTGGGGTGTTCATCCTGACATCGCTGTGCGAGAGGTGACCTATAGACACTGACTGGGTGACGCTGTGTGACACCGGGGTCATTATAACAGACTGCTCTGGATGGGGGTGGTGCATACTGGAGACATATGGAGACATCTCAGGCATGCCAGGATGCAAAACCCTAGAGCTGGCATGGGGGGACATTGAGTTGCTGGGAGAGCAAACTTTGGCAAAGGGTGAAGGTGAGTGGCCCGTTGTTCGAGGGGAATGGGGCTCTTGCTTGAGGTGTGGTACTGACCGATCAGATGGGGTACCAGTCAAAGATGGGTGATGTGAATTCATGATTGGGCTGAGGTTGGATGTCTGGTGTGCCTTTGCCATATCCGCCATCATTGGTTTGGATTCTGCTCCAGGCCCTTTCTTTGCGTGCTGCTGCATCACAGCCTGGTTGTACATCAGTACTTGAGGACTAGTGACCGGTTTTTGAAACATCTTTACTGCGCTACCCTGGTGTCCAGTGTGATATGATGACTCTGACTTTTCAGAAGCAGGACTCTCCTGCTTAATGGTGGAGATGACAGGCTGAGAATTGTATGACTGGCCAGTTAAGAGTACCCCAGGGTGTCCGTACCCTGTAGGTGTCAGGGGTCCCTTGGGGGTGTAAGGCTGGGATGGGGCAAATGGTTCTTGCTTAATCTGAGATTTAGACACAGACTGCTGGAACTCTATGTCGACTGCGCTGGCTGGTGGGATCTGGCTAATTTTGGCATTGATCCGTTGAGGTCCCTCTGTTTTTTGCCCTGAGTAACTCAGTACTACCACACCTTCTGATGTATTTACCCTGAGGCCAGGACTGGAGCCTGTGTTGTAGGGTGTGCTCTCAACTACAGACTGTCCTCTGTGGTTTACATCCTCTGCCACATCCACTCCATGGTAACAGTTGTTCTCGTTCATACTTGATCTGGATTTCTGTTTGGGCAGAGATAGGCCAGCATTACGGTTACTTAGGGAGATTCGAGGTGCTTCTTCAGTGTCAAAGGGCATTGGAATCCGGCTGATGACAGAGGTAGTAGGGGAAGAAATGACTGAATGCACCATCTTCTCTCCAAAGTTCTGCTGGGTCTCAGTAAGCGGGGATGGTTTTTGAAGAGTGAAAGGCAAGGGTCTGTCTTCAGGATGCGTGTGCCTAGCAGCCATCGTGTCAGATGAGTTTTCATTCTCTGACATGCGAGGGTCTGCCAGCATTGTGGTTAGCACTGTAGTAGGAATGGCATTGCTGTTTGATGCTGACACATATTTGGGATCCATGAGGATCTTTCTGAGAGTGCTGGCGCTAGGGTCAATATCCGATGCCTTAGTATCAGGAGGCATAAGTGGATTTACTGACTGGCTCCCAAGTGCAGTTACTGCTGGTGCAGAGGGAGTGACTACAGTAACTTGAGTTGCAAGAGTAGCATGGATTATACTTTCTTCAGATCTGTGAAGCCAGTCTGGTGAAACAGGCATCTTGCCTGGGCGGGGTGGAGGGACATTCAATTGGGTTGGAGAAGGTGTGAGGGCAGGGGATGGAGAGAGACCAGGGGCTACTGCTGATAGTTGCAACTTTTTGAAATGTGGAAATCTCTTGGTGCCAGAGTGAAAAGCAGATTCTTCAGGTACAGGTTGTTCCACAGCAGGTTGTTCTGCCTCCTTGGGAGTTTCCTCAGTCATGGTGCATGTGATATCACATTTGCAGGTAGCAGCTGCAGTGACAACAGCGGCTGTTGCTGCAGCTGTAGCAGTAGCTGCCTTAGAGTTGATGATTTCAATTTTTTCAGGAATGGACTCTGGTAGCTTGAAAGGGGAGGTCTCAGCTTCTGATACCTCTTCAGCAGTCTCTCCCTTCCGGTTGACAGCCTTTCGTCCCCTGGACCTCTTTGGAGTCTTAGGTCTGACTGCTTTCCCTTTTTTTGTGTGTGTTTCTGGTGGAAGGGACTCATCTTCGGCAGAGGCCCCAGAGACTATTGATTCAGAGGCTTTAGCATCTGTCGTCAGGAGCTTGGCACTGGGAATCAGAACTCCCATCTCTGGGTCAATAATGTTGCTGATAGTCATGTGTGTTTCTGGTTCCAATACATCATTGGCAGAGGGTGAGACCAGTGGCTCTGGGGTAGGAACAAGTGCAGTATAAGTAGAAGGAGCTGTGAACCCATCTGTATCAGCAGATATGTCTTCAGCAGTAATGGAATCAATAGCAGCAGCAAGTTCGGTTTCACTGGCAGGAATAGCTGACTTCTCCCCCTCTATTTCATTCTCTGGTTCTACAGTGACAGTGGGCAGCAGGGTAGGTGGCTCTGCAGGTGGTTCCTTATAGGGTTGAAGAGGTTGCACAACTGTAAGTTTGGCAATATTCTCCACTGCCCGTTCCAGTTCCATCTGACGTGCTAAAATAGCGGCTGCTGGGTCTTCCGGTTGTTCAGGGTCTAATAGAACTTCTTCCTTTTCCTCTGGGCTGAACTCTGCTGCTTCTTTCAGATAACACGGAGTCCTTGTTTCTTCTTTATCTGGTACTCTTGGTTTGGCCTTTTTAGCAGTGGTCTCAAAAGATTCAGCCTCATCCTCCTCAGTGCAAAGCAAGCCTTTCACATCATCTACGCTTACACGAATCTCAAGGTTTCTCAAGCCATGCGATTTATTCTGTCACCAATTTGGCATTTTGTGTCAACCTTGGTGCTTTTACTTTCCCACTCTTTTCAGATTGTTGTCTTTTCTCCACATGGGTAGATTCTGTCCTCTCAATGTCCCCTTCAGAATTATTTTTCTCAATTTGATCAGTTAGCGCTTGGTCTTTTTCGTCTTTCTGTGTTGGCAAGCATTGCTTTGCTGCCTCTAATAATTTCCCTGCCTCTTCTGCCACATCTTTTATTTTGGGCTCAAGCTCTTCAGTAGTTGTCCTATCAACTGACTTCTCTCCTGATGATGTAGCACTCTCGGATTGTTTATCTACTCTACTTGCTTTCCTGCCAATTGAGGCCCCAGTAAGTGAAGACACTTGAGCTGTCTGCACTTTCTGCATACGGGGTGAACGCCACCCCTCAGACATTCTGGAACCCTGTCCAGTGTTCGCAGGCTCTTTCATGTCAATGTCTTCCTCTGATGTTTTCTGCGAGTCCCCTTTCACTGGTGACACATCTTCCCCTCGCCTGCGTGACTTGGGTGGGCGACCTCGCCTTGTGTTGGTAGATGTGTTCAATGCCTCCTGCTGCAGCTGCTGCACTAGCTCCTTGTCAACACCACACTTACGTGTGGAGCGGGAGGACTCCACCACCTCTTTACATGGTGGCTGGGCCTCCCCTTCAGATGGTGTGGCATAAACCGACCGCACATTTCGGCGTCTGGTCCTTCCGTGGATTAGGCTTGATTCATTCTCAGAGTCAGGGACATTAACTGGTGACTTGGCTGTGGTTTTAGGTTCTGATGATGCCTTTAATACTTCTCCTCGTGGAGATGAAGACCTTTTCAGCTTCTCTCTGTCAATTCGCTCACTCTTTCGAGTTACTGGTTTCTCAGAGACAATGATTTCGGGGGGCTCCAAGATTTGTGTTACTGACACATTTGGCTTAGCTCTTTTACTCTTGGGTTGTTTGCGAATTGGCTTTGCTGGTTTGATTCCAGCCTCTGAGACTGGCATGTGAACCTCTTGGGAAGCGTCAGATTTCTGAGGTTTGTCAAAGTCCTTAGAATCTGGTTTCTCTGGTTGGGTCTCTATCTTTACCATTTCCATATTATCTTCAATCTTGGGGGAAGTAGAGCAGCTGAATTCAGCAGCCTTTGCCTCAAAACTACTTAATGAGGCCCCAGGAGTGGGAGGCTTATTATCAAGGAAAGATGCACGATCCACTGTAAGATCGCCTTCGGTTGTAACTTTGGGTTCACATAATACCTCTTTAGGTTCAACTTTAACCTCAGCATCTGAAAGGGAAGGTGATAAGGTTATGATTAAAATCGAGGCAGGGGGTTGGATCTCTACTAGTGGAGGAGATTGGGGTGGGGACACTTCAAGATGATGTTCTACTTTTTCCTCTTCAAGCAGTGAAACAGTCTGTTCAGAGGATGAATTAGTTAAAACAGCCTCTTTCTCCTGCTGTGGAGACATATCTCTGGGTGAAGGAAGAAACTGTGAAATTGGCAGGATGAGAGAAGGGCTGACTGATTTAATATCAGCCTTCTGCATGAACTCTGAAACCTTGGGAGACTCTTCTTGTTCACTCACATCAACTACATCAAAACTTTCAATTACTTGTGGAAAGTGGTCCCTTGAGGTCTCCTTCTGTTGTTGAAGCTCTAGAAAGCGGCTATGAAAAAGCACTATGGGTTCTTGAAGGTCCCCTCTCCATGGCCCAGGTTGTCCTTCGACAGCATCCTGTTTGGCAGGATGTCGGTCAACTCCCAACTCAGGATCTTCGCGCTCAAGATGTTGCAGACGCCGTGAATCTTGCTCAAAGATTGAACTATGAAGAAAACGAGATGCAAACAGCTCCTGCTGTTCCTGATCCTCTGCTTTGGGGTCCTCCTTTTTGTCATCCAGTTTACCTTCAGAGTCGGTACGAATCTTCTTCTTCTTCATGTACCAAGACGGGATAGGTCGTGGTAAAGACTCTACCTTTTCTTTGTCTGAGCTACTGCGAAGACTGGCAAAGTGAGAGTCTCTGTCAAGAAAGGACCAATTATCCTCCCTTGCGGAGGACAATGACTTGGCTCGCTCAAGAAGTGCTTTTGTGTCTGGAGTGATAGTCTTGTCTAATGCAAAAGAATAGAACTTGTTCTTCTCCAGGGAGCATGAGAGCTTGAGGCCTGTCAACCTTTCTTCACGTTCCCTGAGGATAGAGGTCAGTGAGGTGTTGGGCTTAGGGGAGTGGTTTTTGTTCTCACCATCATCATCGGAATCTGACGGTACTTCTCCAGGCTCTAGTTGACGCACAAGACGTTTGCAAATGTTTTCACGTTTCACAATGCTACTGGGAAAGGTCATGTCCATTCTGAGGCAGTCAGATTTGATTCTGCTCTCCCACCGTTGGAGTAACTGCTCGTCACACCCAAGCAATTTTGTTTTAAGCTTAGGAAATTCTGTGTTAGGGGAACGGAAACGATTAGGTGTCATGTCCAAGCTGTATTTAAATGAATCTAGATGCGAGTAGACATTGTCCTCTTCTTTTGGAGAGTCTTTAGTCTCTTTATTGGTAACTGATTGTGATAACTGGGAAGCACACTCTTCTTCATTTGAGGGAAAGGGTCCAGAGCCAGAAAAAGATGTGACACTCAGGTCAAGGTCTTCATTTAATTCCCAGGAAGACCTGTAGTTGCGTTCTCTCTTACCGCTTAGCAAGTCAAAGTCAAAACTCTCGGATTTCTTACGTTTGTTAGATGGAGAATCATCTGTAACATCTTGAGGTGGTTTTCCTACCTCATGCACCAGACTGCACCTTTCAAAGTCCTCTGTGTCGCTGCCTTGTGGGCTTTCTGATTTATCTGATTTGTCAGGCTCTTCTAGCTTCAGCCGAAGCTGTCGGCTCTGTTCCATTTGTTTTCTGCAGCTCTGAGAGTGGTCAAGGTCAGATGCAAGCCGTTCCTCAGTTTCCCCTCTATTTTTGTATAGTCCTACACCCTGCTCGCCATTGTCTTGTTGCGGCAGTTGCTTGAATGCCTCCTGGTCAAGACTCCCATCAGAGATTTTTGTGAGACTTGATCCCCAAAACTGAATTTTCAGACAGGGTGGGTCTAATGGATCTGTTGCATCTGCTGTTGGTTCTCCAAGTCGTGACTGAAGTTCCAAACTGAGTCCAAGGCCCATTCCCATGGAGACAATTTCAGACTCTTGTTCATCTTTAGGACTGCAAACAGTAACAAGTCTCTCAGATTTAGCCTTGCAATAATCCTTCTTATGCACCACTTTTCGCAATAGGCTCTTTTCACCCTCATTCTCCTTTCCCATAGCACTGTCAGGTGTCTTCCTAAGTCCCAGTCTACCGCCCTCTTCCTCTTCTGGACTGCCCCTCTTCAGTTGATCGGTCTTCCCCATGGAGTCTTCAAAACGCCTCTTTCGTGCAGCTAGACGGTCAACATCCACAGAGTTAGAACCATCAAACCCAGGGTCAGCTTTCATATGTTTTTTGGCTTTAATTTTACCATCCTTGTCTACAACTTCAACCAGCCTCGCCAGGGTTTTGTCTTTGGGCACCTTCCCATGCTTGATTAGATCTCCTTTTTGGGGATCTATGCGGAAGGGAGGACTCTTCTGATCCCTTGAAGGTGATGCAAGCCGAATACTGCCATTCCCACCTCTAAGTCTTTGTTTTTCTAGGACAGCATGACCAAGCAATTTGCCTTCCTTCTCCTTCACACGTGTTAGCTGCACCACACAAGGTGGTAGGTCTAGCCGTCCTTTGCCCGAGCCTTCTTTTTCCTTAAGAGGAAACTTGCTGACTTTGCTTCGAAGGCCTGCATCTGGACTAACTTCTCTTTCCAGTTTAGGCTCAGTCTCAGGCGATGGAATGCTGGGAGACAGCAATTTAAGCTTTCTTAGCCTCGGTTTCTCACCTTTCTCCTTTTCACTCTTCTCCTTGCGCCCAGACCACTTTTCCTTTTCACCCCCAATACCATGTTCAGCTTCAAAAAGTCTCTCCTTCTCTGGCTTATCACTCTTATTATACCGATCGGATCGTGCCTTGTCAGGCTTGTCAAATCTTGGAGGTGAGAGTGAACTGCAGCTGGCACTTCGCTCTGAGGATCTACAGCAAATGCGCCGATCAGAGTCACTTGGTAGACGCTCAGAGAGGGAGTGGGATGCTGTAGGACTGGCAGGGCGATGAGGGTGAGAAGGGCTCTGGCTGTGTTCCATTGTCCTCCGCCCATGGTCACGTTCGCGGTCCGTTTCAAAGCGCTCCCTCTCACGCTCCCTCTGCAAGTAACTGTATTTGCGGATGTCCTGCTCATAGGGGTCTCTGTAATCTCTGTATTCACGAGGGTCATCAAAGTAACGTGGGTCATAGAAATCCCCCTGGTATGAGTCCCATTCTGTGTAGAACTCGCGGCCTCTGTCAGGTAACTTGCGACGGGGATCTTCTGTGAAGGTTCCTCCAGGTGTTCGCACAGCATTGTCAAATAATGGCCGCTCAGCTGTAAACTCATATTGCGGCCTGCGCTCATCCCTGATAAACACAAAAATAAACCAAAATTATATTATTCAATGTCATTGGAATTTTTCAAATGGGGATATGTGACAAAATATGTCATTTACAAAATAGCCTCCAACACTCTACTCAGCAAATTGGATGTAGTCTATCACAGTGCCATCCGTTTTGTCACCAAAGCCCCATATACTACCCACCACTGTGACCTGTACGCTCTTGTTGGCTGGTCCTCACTACATATTCGTCGCCAAACCCACTGGCTCCAGGCCATCTATAAATCACTGCTAGGCAAATCCCCACCTTATCTTAGCTCATTGGTCACCATAGCAACACCCACCCGTAGTATGCGCTCCAGCAGGTATATCTCACTGGTCATCCCCAAAGCCAACACCTCCTTTGGCCGCCATTCCTTCCAGTTCTCTGCTGCCAATGACTGGAACGAATTGCAAAAATCTCTGAAGCTGGAGACACTTATCTCCCTCACTAACTTTAAGCATCAGTTGTCAGAGCACCTTACCGATCACTGCACCTGTACACAGCCCACCTGAAATTAGCCCACCCAACTACCTCATCCCCATATTGTTATTTATTTTGCTCATTTGCACCCCAGTATCTCTATCATCTCTTGCACATCTATCATTCCAGTGTTAATACTAATTGTAATTATTTTGCACTATAGCCTATTTATTGCCTTACCTCCATAACTTGCTACATTTGCACACACTGTATATATATTTTCTGTTGTATTTTTGACTTTATGTTTTGTTTTACCCCATATGTAACTCTGTGTTGTTGTTTTTATCGGACTGCTTTGCTTTATCTTGGCCAGGTCGCAGTTGTAAATGAGAACTTGTTCTCAACTGGCTTACCTGGTTAAATGAAACAAAATAAAAAACAAAATGAATCTAGTAAAAATGATACAAACCTTCGCTCAGATAGGATTTCATAGAAGTCGCGAATGTCCTGCCCAGATGCCTGCATTGAGTGATAGAAAGCCATCTGACTTTCCTGATTGGCAAAGTCCACCTGCAAACAAAACCACATGGAAGTTGATAAAACAGAGACAAATATCATGGTTTGGACTATGGTCTTCAATCACCTGGCCTATTTCCCCAACCAACAGGGATTCTATTTCATAAGACATTTTCTTGCTTACCTTAATTTTGTTGCCACCAATCTTCCAACCCTTTGTCTCCTTGACAGCCGCCTGCGCATATTCTATGTTATTATACAGGACGAGGGCCATTCCTTTTGGTCTGTCAAATACAACCTGTGGTGGGAGGGGAGAGAAGTATGAAAAACATTTAGTAAAACCATCTTCCTTAGATACAGTGCATTCAGAAAGTATTCAGACCCCTTGACTTTTTCCACATTTTGTTACTTTACAGCCTTATTCTTAAATGTATTAAATTGTTTTTTTTCCATCAATCTACACACAATACCCCATAATGACAAAGCAAAAACATATTTTTAGAAATGTTTGCTAATTTATTAAAAGTAAAAAACGGAAATATTACATTTACATAAGTATTCAGACCCTTTACTCAGTACTTTGTTGAAGCACCTTTGGCAGGAATTACAGCCTCGAGTCTTTTTGGGTATGATGCTACAAGCTTGGCACACCTGTATTTGGAGAGTTTCTCCCATTCTTCGCTGCATATCCTATCAAGCTCTGTCAGGTTGGATGGGGAGCATCGCTGCACAGCTATTTTCAAGTCTCTCCAGAGATGTTCGATCAGGTTCAAGTCCGGGCAATGGCTGGGCCACTCAAGGACATTCAGAGACTTGTCACGAAGCCACTCCTGCGTAGTCTTGGCTGTGTGCTTAGGGTCGTTGTCCTGTTGGAAGGTGAACCTTCACCCCAGAGGACCTGAGCGATCTGGAGCAGGTTTTCATCAAGGATATCTCTGTACTTTGCTCTGTTCATCTTTGCCTCGATCCGGACTAGACTCCCAGTCCCTGCCGCTGAAAAACATCCCCACAAAATGATGCTGCCACCACCATGCTTCACCGTAGGGATGGTGCCAGGTTTCCTCCAGAAATGACATTTGACATTTTTACATTTTAGTCATTTAGCAGACGCTCTTATCCAGAGTGACTTACAGTTAGTGAGTGCATACATTTTTCATGACGCTTGGCATTCAGGCCAAAGAGCTCAATCTTGGTTTCATCAGACCAAAGAATATTGTTTCCCATGGTCTGAGAGTCTTCAGGTGCCTTTTGGCAAACTCCAAGCGGGCTGCCATGTGTCTTTTACTGTGGAGTGGCTTCCGTCTGGCTACTCTACCATAAAGGCCTGATTGGTGGAGTGCTGCAGAGATGGTTGTCCTTCTGGAAGGTTCTCCCATCTCTGCAGAGGAACTCTGGAGCTCTGTCAGAGGGACCATCGGGTTCTTGGTCACCTCCCTGACCAAGTCCCTTCTCCCCCCGATTGCTCAGTTTGGACGGGTGGCCAGCTCTAGGAAGAGTCTTGGTGGCTCCAAACTTCTTCCATTTAAGAATGATTGAGGCCACTGTGTTCTTGGGACCTTCAACCTCATAGCTTGGTTTTTGCTCTGATATGCACTGTCAACTGTGGGACCTTATATAGACAGGTGTGTGCCTTTCCAAATCATGTCCAATCAATTGAATTTACCACAGGTGGACTCCAAATTGTAGAAACATCTCAAGGAGGATCAATCGAAACAGGATGCACCTGAGCTCAATTTCGAGTCTCATAGCAAAGGGTCTGAATACTTATGTAAAAACGTCTAAAAACCTGTTTTCACTTAGTCATTATGGGGTATTGTGTGTAGATTGATGAGGAAAATGTTTTATTTCATCCATTTTAGAATAAGGCTGTAGCGTAACAAAATGTTGAAAAAGTAAAGTGGACTGAATACTTTCCGAATGCACTGTAAGTATGTATGTATGTATGTACAGTACCAGTCAAAAGTTTGGACAGGCCTACTCATTCCAGGGTTTTTCTTTATTTGTACCATTTTCTACATTGTAGAATAATAGTGAAGACATCAACACTATGAAATAACACATATGGAATCATGTAATAACCAAAAAAGTGTTAAACAAATCAAAATATATTTTACATTTGAGATTCTTCAAAGTAGCCATCCTTTGCCTTCATGACAGCTTTGCACACTCTTGGCATTCTCTCAATCAGCTTCCTGAAGTTGTCACCTGGAATGCATTTCAATTAACAGGTGTGCCTTGTTAAAAGTTAATTTGTGGAATTTCTTTCCTTCTTAATGCGTTTGAGCCAATCAGTTGTGTTGTGACAAGGTAGGGGTGGTATACAGAAGATATCCCTATTCGGTAAAAGACCAAGTCCATATTATGGCAAGAACAGCTCATATAAGCAAAGAGAAACGACAGTCCATCATTACTTTAAGACATGAAGGTCAGTCAATCCGGAAAATTTCAAGAACTTTGAAAGGTTCTTCAAGTGCAGTCGCAAAAACCATCAAGCGCTATGATGAAACTGCTTCTCATGAGGACCACCACAGGAAAGGAAGACCCAGAGTTACCTCTGCTGCAGAGGATAAGTTCATTACCAGCCTCAGAAATTGCAGACTAAATAAATGCTTCATAGAGTTCAAGTAACAGACACATCTCAACATCAACTGTTCAGAGGACACTGCGTGAATCAGGCCTTCATGGTCGAATTTCTGCAAAGAAACCACTACTAAAGGACACCAATAAGAAGAAGAGACTTGCTTGGGCCAAGAAACACAAGCAATGGACATTAGACCGGTGGAAATCTGTCCTTTGGTCTGATGAGTCCAAATTGATGATTTTTGGTTCCAACCGCCGTGGTTCCAACCGCAGAGTAGGTGAACGGATGATCTCCGCATGTGTGGTTCCCACCGTGAAGCATGGAGGTGGTGTGATGGTGTGGGGGTGATTTGTTGATGACACTGTCAGTTAATTATTTAGAATTCAAGGCACACTTAACCAGCATGGCTACCACAGCATTCTGCAGCGATACACCATCCCATCTGGTTTGCGCTTAGTAGGACTATCATTTGTTTTTCAACAGGACAATGACCCAACACACCTCCAGGGCAATTTGACCAAGAAGGAGAGTGATGGAGTGCTGCATCAGATGACCTGGCCTCCACAATCACCCGACCTCAACCCAATTGAGATGGTTTGGGATGAGTCGGACGGCAGAGTGAAGGAAAAGCAGCCAACAAGTGCTCAGCATATGTGGGAACTCCTTCAAGACTGTTGGAAAAGCATTCCAGGTGAAGCTGGTTGAGAGAATGCCAAGAGTATGCAATCTGTCATCAAGCAAAGGGTGGCTATTTGAAGAATCTCAAATATATTTTTTTGGTTACTACATGACTCCATATGTGTTATTTCATAGTTGAGGTCTTCACTATTATTCTATAATGTAGAAAATAGTAAAAACAAAGAAAAGCCCTTCAATGAGTAGGTGTGTCCAAACGTTTGACTGGTAGAATATATATATATAAATAAATAAATAATGACATGGGGATATGTCATAAGAGAAAAGCTTAAAACAGGAATAAGGAGCAGGCTTACCTTGACAACATGTCCATAACGGCAGAAATGACGAGTGAGATACTGCTCTGTGATGTTGGAGGCTAAACCATCCAACCAAACACAAGTTGTGGGCATACTTTTTCCAAATCCAAGCTGTAGAAAGAGGGCGATTTAACATGTCAACAATATTATCCTGTTGACATCACTCCAGTCACAACCATCAACAACAAAAAAATCTCAGTTGTATATTCAAAAGATGTGTTTTCGCGAAATTCGAGTTATAATGCTCTTCTCACCTTTAGCCTATTGTTGCCGAGGTACTCTCCATCCATCTTCTTTATGGCCTTACAGACACTGGCAATGTCACAGTACTGTAGAAAGGCATACTGAGGGGCACCATTAACTTTCTTGATGTCAATATCCTATGTGAATGGGAAGAAAGGCAACACTGAATTAAGAGAGGCAGTGTTTAATTAGGACATTTGTTCCTCACAAAATCTCCTTTGCAACATCCAGATTCAGAATGTATTTCACTTACCACTATCTCCCCAAAGCGCTGAAAGATATTGAGCAGATCATGGTAGCTGGTGGTCTTTTCCAGGTTGCCAATAAACAGAGTCCGTGTGGCTTTGGGGTGAAATTCGTCTATCCTCTCATCCAGAGGCCGGAACTCATTCTCGCTTTCAGTCTCTGAAAAGAGAAATGCATGTTTTCATGAACCTGTATAAATCATTTTTAAAAAGGTTTTATATAATCTAAACAGAGCCCATAGATTTTCCTGGTCAGGTTACGTGGTTAGGAAAAACTCAAGCCCCTTTATATACCAGTTGTGGACGCACCAGGGCCGTTCCAGGCAATGACCTCAATTTGCATGCCAAAAAACAGCTTCCCCTTTGATGCACCCAGGGCCTTCTCCTGGTCCTCCTGCTGGCGAAAGAACACTAGTCCATAGCGCTCCTCTAAAGATCCATGGATTTGCACAGACGTCACCTTCCCATACTTCTTGAACTCATGGAACAGGCCATCCTTCAGACTTGTATCTGAAAGCAGAGGGAACAAAGATTATAATAAATGTTTTTGACTAAATACCTTCAGGTGCATACATAGGTGACTAATTCTTATCTGCAGTACAAAAAGCCTCAACAATGTCATTAACTCAACAAATTATATAATAATAATAAGCCATTTAGCAGACTATTATTACCAAACCCTTAACAGTGTACTGCCCACATGTAGCGTGGAGCAGATAATGTATGGTATATACACAGCAGCAGTGGTGCAAACTACCTTAAGTCATTTTTGGGGGTATCTGTACTTAACTATTTATATTTTTGACAACTTTTACTTCACTACATTCCTAAAGAAAATAATGTAGTTTTACTCCATACATTTTTCCTGACACGCAAAAGTATTTGGTACATTTTGAATGCTTAGCAGAACAGGAAAATGGTCCAATTCACACACTTAACAAGAGAACATGCCTCTGATCTGGCGGACTCACTAAATTATGTCTGAGTGTTGGAGTGTGCCCCTGGCTATCCGTACATTTTTAAAACAAAATGATGCCATCTGGTTTGCTTAATATAAGGAATTTTAAATGATTTATACTTTTACTTTTGATACTTAAATACATTTTAGCAATTACATTAACTTTTGATACTTAAGTATATTTAAAACCAAATACTTTTAGACAAGTAGTATTTTACTGGGTGACTTAAAATTGTACTTTAGTCATTTTCTATTAAGGTATCTTTACTTTTACTCAAGTATGACCTTTGGGTACTTTTTCCCACCACTGCACAGCAGAAAGGGGTCAAATCCTCACCTGTAGAACGCACAGGAAGATTCTGGACCTTGACACCAAAGCTTTTTCGAGGCTCATCCTTGTCAAGGGCAGATAAAGGCAGAGTTGAAGGTGCAGGGACGGCAGCAGACTGAACTGAACGTGCTGGGGAGTCATCACTTGAACTACTGCTGGAATCACTGCTGCCAAAGAGGAACACAGAGGCTTAATGGAAAATAGCTTAGTGTGCATGTCACAGAATCTCATATATCAGTCATAACAAGAGGAGTAAATCACTGTAAAGAACTGATGATTCAGAAATGGTGTGCTTTTGTCTGAAACATTACATTTAAAGACATCTCTATGCACAACGATTTTGATATAGTTCCGAGATGTGATATCGGAATCATCGTCAATCCATTAGACGGGTGATTCTCATGAAACCAGTTTTAACCATGGCAGTAACAACTTGAGTTAGAAAACTGTGATGCATCTGCAACAATCAACTATCATTCTGAACACTAAGATGCCTAGTTTATGGCACAGTGTCTTATTTTAAATCCATTGTATATTTTTGCCTGAATTCTGTACATTTTCACATTACCGAAATGCGTCTGATTAAATTTGATAAAATGTTGAATAAAACAGAAATTGTTGCTGTAGTTTGTCCATAAATCATACAAGTTATATACTAGTTTATGTTTACATTAAAACTATAATAATTATTATGTAAAAACAGTGTCTGCAGAAAACAGTGTCTGTGGACATGTTTCTCATTACCGTAACACTTTAAGTTGCTGTAAAAACTCCAATCATTTTTTAAATAAAGTTTTTATCACCCATGATGCATCATCTAGAGGAGTAGTCCTTAGATGAGCACAAGTTCATTTAATTTCTTCACTTATATGCCTTCAGAATGAGGATCTTATTCTCAAACACCCCCTTTAAGACACTTGACCTTTCACTAAAATGACTAAAAAGCTCCAATTGGGAAAAACTTTGAGAACTATTACCTTACCAACATGGAGGCATGAATGGGCTTTAGTGATGTGGTCAATTGTTTGCTGACTCATAATGGCTGTCTCCTATTACTTGCAGATTGAGCTAAGGGGCTTTCATTACCGAAACACAAATGTCTCATTACTGAATACATTTTAAGTCAGTTTCGGTAATGAGAACCTTAATTTCAGTAATGATAATAATCAAACTCTAATGTATAGTCAATGGGTGTGCTGTGCTGGTAACTTTTCTTATTTACTAGGACCACTGCTTACACCTATTGTATATATATATTTTTTGTAAAACATCAGTTATTTTATTAAGTAGGAGTTGTCAAGAAATATGGGTGCATAAACCTTATTCAGATTTACTTAAAGCCACAATCTGGAGTTTGTTTCAGCAACCCAGCCACTTAAAGGAGGATATCCTTCATTTTGACAAGTGTACCTGTTTTAGCAATTACCTTTACTGTTGTTTGATATCCCAAGACAGTTTTTGATTCATATCCCACATATTTAGATACTTTATAGGTATATCATGTTTGCCATTTGCCCATAGGATGCCATTCAATTTAGAAATGCATCTAAAATACCTTAGAACCACACATATCCACGTCCTAACGCCAATATTACTTGTAAATACAGTGGGGGAAAAAAGTATTTAGTCAGCCACCAATTGTGCAAGTTCTCCCACTTAAAAGGATGAGAGAGAACTGTAATTTTCATCATAGATACACGTCAACTATGACAGGCAAATTGAGGAGAAAAAAAATCCAGAAAATCACATTGTAGGATTTTTTATGAATTTATTTGCAAATTATGGTGGAAAATAAGTATTTGGTCACCTACAAACAAGCAAGATTTCTGGCTCTCACAGACCTGTAACTTCTTCTTTAAGAGGCTCCTCTGTCCTCCACTCGTTACCTGTATTAATGGCAACTGTTTGAACTTGTTATCAGTATAAAAAGACATCTGTCCACAACCTCAAACAGTCACACTCCAAACTCCACTATGGCCAAGACCAAAGAGCTGTCAAAGGACACCAGAAACAAAATTGTAGACCTGCACCAGGCTGGGAAGACTGAATCTGCAATAGGTAAGCAGCTTGGTTTGAAGAAATCAACTGTGGGAGCAATTATTAGGAAATGGAAGACATACAAGACCACTGATAATCTCCCTCGATCTGGGGCTCCACGCAAGATCTCACCCCGTGGGGTCAAAATGATCACAAGAACGGTGAGCAAAAATCCCAGAACCACACGGGGGGACCTAGTGAATGACCTGCAGAGAGCTGGGACCAAAGTAACAAAGCCTACCATCAGTAACACACTACGCCGCCAGGGACTCAAATCCTGCAGTGCCAGACGTGTCCCCCTGCTTAAGCCAGTACATGTCCAGGCCCGTCTGAAGTTTGCTAGAGTGCATTTGGATGATCCAGAAGAGGATTGGGAGAATGTCATATGGTCAGATGAAACCAAAATAGAACTTTTTGGTGAAAACTCAACTCGTCGTGTTTAGAGGACAAAGAATGCTGAGTTGCATCCAAAGAACACCATACCTACTGTGAAGCATGGGGGTGGAAACATCATGCTTTGGGGCTGTTTTTCTGCAAAGGGACCAGGACGACTGATCCGTGTAAAGGAAAGAATGAATGGGGCCATGTATTCCATCAGCAAGGGCATTGAAAATGAAACGTGGCTGGGTCTTTCAGCATGACAATGATCCCAAACACACCGCCCGGGCAACGAAGGAGTGGCTTCGTAAGAAGCATTTCAAGGTCCTGGAGTGGCCTAGCCAGTCTCCAGATCTCAACCCCATAAAAAATCTTTGGAGGGAGTTGAAAGTCCGTGTTGCCCAGCGACAGCCCCAAAACATCACTGCTCTAGAGGAGATCTGCATGGAGGAATGGGCCAAAATACCAGCAACAGTGTGTGAAAACCTTGTGAAGACTTACAGAAAACGTTTGACCTGTGTCATTGCCAACAAAGGGTATATAACAAAGTATTGAGAAACTTTTGTTATTGACCAAATACTTATTTTCCACCATAATTTGCAAATAAATTCCTTAAAAATCCTACAATGTGATTTTCTGGATTTTTTTTCCTCATTTTGTCTGGCATAGTTGACGTGTACCTATGATGAAAATTACAGGCCTCTCTCATCTTTTTAAGTGGGAGAACTTGCACAATTGGTGGCTGACTAAATACTTTTTTTCCCCCACTGTACCTTGGAGATTTTTTTTTTTTAATGTTACCTTTTTATGCTTAAGTCCACTTTTGAAAACACATGCACGTAATTACAGTACTTATGCTAAATGATGGAGTATTTTAGTCAATTGCATTTAGATCAGTGATTTTAATATTATGTAAATCATTTTTGATTAACAAATGACAGTTTGATGATGTATTGGGTTACTGAATCTTAAATAGAGCTCAGTACAGTTTTTCAATGGCAAACTATGCAACACTATTTTCCGAAACCTGCTCATCATTACCGTAATGCACAAATACTTCAGAAATATTACGAAAGGTAAAACGTATACTTTAGTAATTTTGGATTAGTCTGATAGTGTGTCTTTTGTTCTTTACCCAAATATGTGTACATAAAAATAACATATATACATACACAAGTAATTATGACAAAAAACAAGATTCAGAAAAGGTTGTGTTGCAGTAATAAGATAAATTACAAAATACATTTGAATAATTGAATGTTAAATATATTTATTTTCAGTGTTATGTTTAACTCAGGCCTTTTCATTACGTGAGCAATGTTAAATATTAGAAAATGATTTGTTTCTGTTGCGGTAATGAGAGGTTTTGCATTGGTAGTTGTGGAAATTGTGGTAAAATGCATAATATCTGATCAATAAACATAATAATTATGAAATAGATAACTACAGATCCTAATCTTAGTGATCCAAGAGTAATTATGGTGGACATTGTTTCATTTTTTGGCAGAATTTTTTTTGTCAAGTGCCAGTTTTGTGAGAATCCCCCAGTACACTCAACAACAATCATGTTTGTTTGAACAAACTTCTATACGAGGTTGGAAATAATTAAGGTTACCCTAGCATAAAGGAATATGTAATACCATTACTTGTCTTTGAGTGGCACTGTTCTCACAATTCATCCACATGGATTCAAATCTGTTTTGAGTTTTTTTCTATTTATATGTTGAAGCAGAATATTCTGTATATCTGTTCACCGTGTTGGTGAATATAAGAGTTATCCATGAGTGCATTCAGCAGATCGTGCCCATATGGATTTGAATCAAATCACCTTGACTAACAACCAAGGTTTGAGAGCAGCTGAGAACTACAATAGATCACAAGTGCATTGATTCCAATTTTAGCAAATCATGACTCAGGTAGATGACAAAATGGCAAGACACTGGCTTTTGTAGAGCAAATAGAGAGCACTTTTGACAAAATACTGCTTGTGTTGTTAGTAATGGAATATTATATTTTATAACAGAAGTAATAGAAAGGGAGCAAAAAAATGAAATGTTTTAGAAAATAAATATGAGCTGCAATCCTCATATGTAATAAAAACAAAACAATTATTTTCATTGTATAGTTCTACCATTCCATCTCAATCTCTTGTGGGATGGGAATTTATTTTGCTTTTCAAAATTATGCTGAGATAGTTTTTTTATGTCACAGTATACTGTTACACAGTAGTAAACATGACCATTAGATATGTTCACACTTGCAATAGACATTTCATAAGCCGTGCGTCCCTTCAGTAGTACACCCCACTATTCCCATTCCCTTCTCAATTTTCCAGCCGTCTCTCAGCTATTTGTTTCCCTCGGCTCCTCCTCCTTCCCTCAGACACTCCCATAAGTGCTGCTGATGGTGCCTGGCCTGTGGGAGAGGGCAGGGAGCAAACAGTGGCTAGAAATGTCCAGTTCCAACTGGATCTCACAGAGGAGGGGGGGGGGGGGGGGGGACATTACCCATACACAGAGGTGGGCAGTGAGAAAATACACCAGCGGTCTCCAAAAATTCCCTGTAGCATTTCTTCCTGAAACCACATATGCAGCTGGGTGCACACACCAAGCATATCAAGCTGTGCAGTCTATTGTGTCAGATCTCAATGCTCTCAAATAACCAATGAAACTGCTTAAATTATAGAACCTACTTACTCTTGCCACGCTAAAGAAGTCTCCTTGCACATTTTCACTGTCATTCCATATCAATTTACCTTTTGACGCTGGTTGTTGGAATTTGTCGTTACATTTATACCAGATTTCCAAGGAGTTACCTCGGCTCAAGATTAGTGGGGCTTTAACTTCTAGCCCCCTCAAATTCAAAGCTGGACCTCAAAGCCAGTTCCACTGCTTTTTCATTCTTCCCCTCTAATCAGGGACTGATTTAGACCTGGGACAGCAGGTGGGTGCAATAATTATCAAGTAAAACAGAAAACCAGCAGTACTCCGGACCTCCCAGGGTAAGATTTGAATACCCTTGTATTAGCACTTCACACAAAAATCTTTTTCAAGGAATTTAGTGGGTCTGAGCAATTCACACCGAATAAGCAAAAGTGGAAATAATATTGTACAATTTTTGTTAAAACCAAAGAAGTAGAACAATTTTTTACTATTGAGTTCATTGCATTACATTCATCAAAGCCAAGTTGGTGCATCCTGAACTGGAGTTACTATGCTAATAACGCTAACTAGCTTTAATTTCACTCAGAAGTTTGTGAGCCAGAGACGCTTAAACTACTATCAATTTATGTTGAGTGAATTCAAATCATATGCCACAAGCAAGTTGAATAAGCTAGTCCTTTAAGTTCTTGGAGGGGCATGCTTTTCATAATAATTGGTTATTATAAAGCATTACATAAGGGTGATTCCTCACAACTCTAGAACAAAACAAGACCATGATTTTGGGGATTTCACCAAATTTAATCTTTGGAGGAAGGATTGTTGACATATATTTTACATTTGTATCTTAAAGGGATACTTCGGGATTTTGGGCAAATGAAGGCCCTTTATCTACTTCCCCAGAGTCAAATGAACTCATGGATAGCATTTATATGGTCTCTGCATCCAGTATGAAGGAAGTTGGAGGTAGTTTCATGCTAGCAGATACCATAGACTTCCAATCATTTGCACTAGCGCGAGTTAGTATTTGCCCTAGCGCTAGTTAGCAACTTCCTTCAAACTGCACGGAGACACATAAAAATGGTATCCACGAGTTCATCTGACTCTGGGGATGTAGATAACGGTGCTCATTGCCAAAATCCAGAAGTATCCCTTTAAAGCATAATTGAGAAATAATTAATTGAAGTTGGAATATTTGTGATATTTTGGCCTCACCCAGGCCTCCTATAAGACTCCATAATGTTTCATCTGTAGGCGCTACAAAGCAAAAGTTGGTGTCATATAAAGCTTTACTGCTTGCTCAGTAATAGGAGTAGCATTTTGATTTCAATAGCACATTTCTTAAAATGTATGAATATTGAAAGTTGTATGAATATTGAAAATGTACCATTTTGATTTGGGTCATTTTTCTATATACTGTTGAACATAATATACCTCACCTCAATGTAAGAAAATGGTTATTGAAATCAAAATACTACTCATATTATAGTATACGCTGTAACGATTCATATGACACCAACTTTGGCTTTGTAGCACCTACAGATACCGATGGAGTCCAAAATTTTACAAATATTCCTACTTCTATACATTATGTCTCAAATATGCTTTAAGATACAAATGTCAAATATATGTCAACAATCCTTTATCTAAAGGACCCTTCTATAGATCACATTTTGTGAAAATCAAAACATTTATTTAACAACTTGTTTTGTTCTAGTTTCATGAGTAATCACCCATAACTAGGTTGTATTTTGAGTGAAACATCCCTTTGAATGTGGGTGGCTAAGTTCTACATTTGGGTGGCTAACTATGCTTCTTGTTTAAGAAGCATTTCTGATTTGTTTCATCGAGCAAGTTGTACTCTGAGTAAAGCAGAAAGATGGGCACAGAGACACCATGTGATAACTGCAGGGGACAGAACGCATGAAAGTGAAACTAATGAGCACTCGCTCTACCTACCTGCCACTGGTGCTGCTGCTGGTGCTGCTGACTGAGTCGGAACTGGAGGAACGGCTGCGAGAGCCGGAGCCACTGTGGGAGCGGGGAGGCCGGGATGCCTGAGTCGCCAACCTTTGTGGAGAGGGGTTACATGAATGTGAAGAGTGTGGAGACCGGCTACGACTGTCGTGGTAAGAACGATCTCTACGCCGACCTCCCTCTTCTTGGTACAAATCCCTGTGAACTACGCTGGCCAGAATAAAGGGTTCTCTGGTACGAGGCTCATATCGAGGCTCTGGTGTATCAAAGTGGCTCGGGCTCCGGCTATGTGAACGATAGTATCCCACACCAACCGATGAAGATCCTCCACTTCCTCCAGCCACAGCCCCAGTCCCTCCACCTGTTCCACTGGCGCCAGCACCTACAACTCCTCCACCGACCCCTGCAGAGACAGCCCCACCACCTCCACTGGCAGTTCCAGTCCCAGTGTTAAGTGTTCTCTCCCTGGTATCTCGGTAATAGTCTGTGTCGTAGTGACGCTGCCGGTCAAAGCTGCTGCCAGCACGCTCGTGATGACCATAGGCACTGTGATCATATGCTCGATCCCGACTTTCAGCAGCCCTGAGTGACAGGGATAGGGATGGAAGGAGTAAATGGAGAGAGAGAGAGAGAGAGAGAGAGAGAGAGAGAGAGATGCACATTATGCTTTTTGACACCAATTACAAAACTAGTTGAGCTTCACACGGTGGTAAATAAAAGTATATCAGGTTATCAAATAACTAAGACAGCAGTCAAGTTGAGTGTTCAAATGGGGTTTCTGTTTGAGACTTAAAAAATACAGTTAACATTTTAATTGATATATTGTACTTTACTTTAGCAAGATATTTAGTTTAAAAATATTTGTAAATATTTCTAATGAATTCATATCGCTCATTATTTGTTGCAGAATTTGTCACTTATATTTGTCCAGATACTTTCAGATTTTTATCTAAATGAAATGTTTAACTACTACTAACTAAGCATGGCAATTTATTCAAAATCTTTCATTTGTTTGTGAATTTTATTCTAGTATTTTAATGAACATCCAAATCTTCTTAATTGGAAAATGTATTGAAAACCGGTAAGAACCTAAATAAAAGGAGTAGATATTTTAGACATAGTATTACATGTACTCGACTGAAATGCAGAAAGAAAATAAACTTGTTTCTATATTTCTTATGATCCATACAATAGAGACACATCCTGATGTGGAAAAACAAGAGTCTGGGGCCTTCACAATGGATGTAATTCTAAAACCTAACGCTAATTTAAAAAATATCATTCTGGACAGCTGTACATTAATGGTGCATGATCAGACAGATCAAAGATTATGTTTAACTCCAGTTTATAATGTACAGTATATGAGAACAATATAACAAATATTCTTGACGAGAACCTATTTCAATGTATGCAATCCCATTCTTAAATGGAACTGAGGAGCATTTCAGGCAATAGACAAGTAGTTGATAGCTCAATAATAATCCACTGAGCTTGCCATTAGGGATGTCCAGAATTAGATTTTGATAGTATGATAACACTAAAATATCTCAATTACATGGTTTTCACTGTATTGTGCAATTACGATCATAATGTTATTGCACAATTAGTTATGTTAGCTTTTAGGGAAGTTCACAGCGGTAGCTGCTAGCGAAAAAGATACTGCACTTATCCATATTCAATTATTGAAATAATTACAAAAATGCAGCAGTTTCTGAGGATTATCCTACAAGATAACTTGCTATCTAAACTACAAAATCACCAGACCTCCTAACTGGTAGCTTGTCAAGGTGCGAGAGCCTTCATCTTTGTCAGAATGGCCTAAAACAAAGTACAAACACCATTCCAATCCAAAGGTTTTATGTACACTGAAATTGAATCATATGCTCTGCTAACTACTGAATACACTTGTACTAATTTATGTTCTTATAGCAGGTACAGCACCACTTCAATAAAGAGGCAGTTGGGGTCTATCAAAAATGTGTGAGTTAACGAGGTGTCGATTTATCAACAAATATTAAGGCAGAGGAATAAAAAAGCTCATTTCATGCCTACTTAAAAATTGAACACAAAACAGGGCGTCCCCACTGAGATTACAATGTAGGAATCACACTTAAATGATTAGTTAACCTTTTCATATGTATGAGATGAATCTGTGACTTATTGAAACGCAGTTTAGAAGGTGCTGGCTCTGTAACTTTGGTAACACTTTATACAGCCTGGTTTAAGATGGTACCTCTTAAAAGACTGTGGTAACAATGGATACTGTCTTTCTAGTACTTTCTGCACCCAAAGGAATAAAACACAATTGGTAACTACCTGGTACATAGTGACACAAGTCTGAATCTCAAAGAAACCAAAGTATAACTACTATACAATTTAAAATGTAATTTAAAATAACTACCTGGTACATAAGCTATCTGTAAAATAAAGCTTTACCATAACTTCCTTTCTGAATACAGTGATGAGCATGACGGAAGTTTAATGATTGGTTTATCACAATTAGTCACAGTTAGAACGTTTCAAAACCACGTACAGTGGGGAGAACAAGTATTTGATACACTGCTGATTTTGCAGGTTTTCCTACTTACAAAGCATGTAGAGGTCTGTAATTTTTATCATACGTACACTTCAACTGTGAGAGACGGAATCTAAAACAAAAATCCAGAAAATCACATTGTATGATTTTTAAGTAATACATTTGCATTTTATTGCATGACATAATTATTTGATAAATCAGAAAAGCAGAACTTAATATTTGGTACAGAAACCTTTGTTTGCAATTACAGAGATCATACGTTTCCTGTAGGTCTTGACCAGGTTTGCACACACTGCAGCAGGGATTTTGGCCCACTCATCCATACAGACCTTCTCCAGATCCTTCAGGTTTCGGGGCTGTCGCTGGGCAATACGGACTTTCAGCTCCCTCCAAAGATTTTCTATTGGGTTCAGGTCTGGAGACTGGCTAGGCCACTCCAGGATCTTGAGATGCTTCTTACGGAGCCACTCCTTAGTTGCCCTGGCTGTGTGTTTTGGGTCGTTGTCATGCTGGAAGACCCAGCCACGACCCATCTTCAATGCTCTTACTGAGGGAAGGAGGTTGTTGGCCAAGATCTCCCGATACATGGCCCCATCCATCCACCCCTCAATACGGTGCAGTCGTCCTGTCCCCTTTGCAGAAAAGCATCCCCAAAGAATGATGTTTCCACCTCCATGCTTCATGGTTGGAATGGTGTTCTTGGGGTTGTACTCATCCTTCTTCTTCCTCCAAACACAGCGAGTGGAGTTTAGACCAGGTCCTGCTGTGTAGTTCTGGGCTGATCCCTCACCTTCCTCATGATCATTGATGCCCCACGAGGTGAGATCTTGCATGGAGCCCCAGACCGAGGGTGATTGACCATCATCTTGAACTTCCATTTTCTAATAATTGCGCCAACAGTTGTTGCCTTCTCACCAAGCTGCTTGCCTATTGTCCTGTAGCCCATCCCAGCCTTGTGCAGGTCTACAATTGTATCCCTGATGTCCTTACACAGCTCTCTGGTCTTGGCCATTGTGGAGAGTCTGTTTGATTGAGTGTGTGGACAGGTGTCTTTTATACAGGTAACGAGTTCAAACAGGTGCAGTTAATACAGGTAATGAGTGGAGAACAGGAGGGCTTCTTAAAGAAAAACTAACAGGTCTGTGAGAGCCGGAATTCTTACTGGTTGGTAGGTGATCAAATACTTATGTCATGCAATAAAATGCAAATTAATTACTTAAAAATCATACAATGTGATTTTCTGGATTTGTGTTTTAGATTCCGTCTCTCACAGTTGAAGTGTACCTATGATAAAGATTACAGACCTCTACATGCTTTGTAAGTAGGAAAACCTGCAAAATCGACAGTGTATCAAATACTTGTTCTCCCCACTGTATATTGTAGGGCCCAAAATTCCATTTAGTTTTTTTAAGGTTTTCGCTCTCAAAATCACTTTATTTATAGAATAATAACAAAATTGGATGTTCTAAGTCCACAACAATGGTCAAACCACATCAGGAGACCACTTTTGAGGTCTTGGAAAAATCTAAGAAATTTACATTTTTGGGTGTAGATACCCTTTAATTCTGTAGTTCACATGTTATTGCAGAGTTTGCTAAACAAATCACCACTGGATTGATGCAAATAATCATGATCTAATTCTACCAGGTAGGCATAGGCTACTTTGTAGTTAACATTTAATTGAGAAGGTTTTTTGGAAAGCTTTTCCATCTACCAAAAAACAGCCATCATTAGCATCTTCGCTAATGGCTACACAAAGTGGTAGACAAACGCGCACACAGACAGGGTCATTCCCGCTTTTCCTCTTCTGAAAGAAAATACAAATCACTGAAGCATTGTGTTAATGTCTTATGATAATCTTGGGCAAAGCATGCTTGCAGATACCCATAGACGTCCAGTCATTGCGTTAACGCTAGTTATCATTGGCTTGCAAAACTACCTCTAACTTCCTTCATACTGGACACAGAGACATAAAAACGGTATCCACAAGTTCATCTGACTCTGTACATGACAATTAGGTTTGCCAAAGCCCATTGCTAATTTTTTATTTTGGATCATTTGGCTTTCAGTATAAATTCTGCATCAGGAATCTGTTCCTGGAGTTAAGTTTCCAAGGTTAAGCCACTGACAAAATGAGAGACTTTGCCATAGCCATCTAAACATTGTCATAAACCCTTTAGTCATGACAAATCTGACAGTAAAATGTAATATACAGTAGCATTTCAAATTGGGTTTTTAAATCATATTTTTATTAACTAATGCAACTATGAAATCTGACAATTGTTCATGGTTTAAAAAACATTCAGAGGTGCATCCCTCTGTTTAGATTATCTGGCCTGTGTCTCCATTTTTCACTCTCATCTCACTTAATGTGAAAAATGCCTCAGCAACACGGTACTATTGACTAGGGGATTAGGAGCTGGGAAGTGGGCGGAGTAGGTTCAAGGTGAGGGGGACAGCAGATAAAAAGGTACACATTCTGCAAATAACAACAAGCAAGTAAACAGTCTATTTAACTGCTATTTCTGTTAGTAGGAAATATGGAGAGAGACAGGGGTTCAAACTAGGGGTTAGAGAGAACAGCTAAAATACACAAGGCAGGACATACCAACCTTTTGAGACAGCGGTAACTCGACCTACAATTCCAAATACAATCTAGGGAGACAGAAATTTGTGAGCAAAAAGGAAAACCGTAGGGTGGGTATAAAAATTGAATTAAAAATTATATATTTAAAAAATAAACAATTATTCTGGCAGGTTTATGTTCAAAATAGTAATCCTCATCAGTATGGCAGGAATCGTCACTTGCTTTGAGGGGCTGGAATATCAACTGATCCAAAAATCTAATCCAATTGTAACAAGATTTTTCTGTGATGGAAAATAGTCATAGGAAGTCAGACTAAACTATCCTTTCAAAAATGGTTACATAAAACGTAACGGATCAATTTGATTAATGTTCATGGAAAATAGGCAACATAGTCCAGTCAAATCAATAAATTATATCCAATTGTCCAGCTTCTGTAAACAGTGCTCTATTGATTCCCCATGAGCAATGAGTCTGGAACATCATGGCACATGAATAGTGGGAAAAAAGTATTTCATCTTTATCTTTAATAGTCCGCCACATTCTGTGTGCAAAATTGAGCAATTGTCCAACTAGATCCATTGAAGCAAAAATGATCTGGTAGTAGCACAGTTTATTTGTCAGTAGTAATCCATGTCTTTAACTCCATGATTCTCCCTCATAGGTACAGTTGCCTTAAAGGCAGTAGGCTAATTCTTTGGTAAGATGTTGACAGGATGTTGTCTTTTCTGATTCTGAGAATAATTGTATCCAAGGATGGACAGATGTAGTTCCACATTCAGGAGGGAGGTAATCCACTGACAGAAGGCAGGTATCTCCACTGACATCCAGTGCCATGTTCTTCAGCCCCATATTTCCATGTAATTGTATTGATTTGTATGATTCCAAAATAGTACAATCCTCTATTAAGTGAATCTGTTTAATGCTTCCCCTACATCCATTGGACAGTCTCACTCTTTCAAGAGCAAAAATAGAAAAATAATTTGAACCACCAACAAAAATGGTGTTTGAATAAAAAAACATTTCTAATTTGCTCACCGTTTCTGTCGTTTCTCTACAAAGTTGATCAACAGTAGAGGTCTCCCAGCATTTAATTGTTAAACCCTGATATCAAACATAATCCCACACAAAACCGGAAAACCCATACCTTTATCGAATGATAGAATATCCTTTCGTGATTGGCCAGTTTTAATCCAATAGGGGAATACATATCCGGGTTAGGTTCTCCACATGACTCCGGACCACAAGGAAAGTGCTGCATTTGAAAAGACCATTGGAAGGGTTGCAGAATGATCGAGAACCCAATTTCCACTAATCCAAAAACTAGTTAATGCATCTTAAAATGTGTAAATATGTATTCTTGGTTGTTATACGAAAATAGGGTGACCCATTAATCCACCAAGGAGGGCACGGTACTCCAGATCAGGGAGATCCCAGGGAAGGCCGCTGGAACAAACTCTCTCCAGCATCCATTAATCCCAGGAATTTTACGATATCCAATATGCCTCGTACTCTCCACAAATGGGATATCCACCTCACAGGAATGTTTAAGCTCATAAAGATAATCCCCAACAGCCAATACACTATTTACTACACACATAGAAATACAATTGTGTGCATGATGTACATAAAAATTGACATGCTCATTTACAGTATAGCTTGGTTTCTACCATATCAATCCATGAGCGATGGCAAAGCTCTGAGGACTAGAAGGGATGCCTACAGATTTATTCCTGCGTATGAACTTATTTCATTTCCCCCTCTTTCTGCTCTTTAACTCCCAAACAAGTAAATTAATAGATGGTGGAAAAATGCTTGGGGGTAAGGAGTTATCAGAAACCAAGTTCCCCCTGCCTTCAGAGAAACATTGTCCACTTACCCGTCTAGTCTGCGTTCATAGCGTCCCTCTCTGCTGTGGAGAGATGCAGGGGGCCCATACACCGGGCCCCCTGCCGCCCTTGTAAACCCTGAAACATCCCGCCCACGAGAGCCTAAGGACAGGCTATCGTCCAGCCCTCTCACGGCACTAGGGATTGTGCCTGGCTCATTGTAATCAGTGCGCAGGTCTCTGTCCCCCATCTTGTTGATAGAATTATGAGCCTTCTGAGCACTTTTAATGTCCACAAAATCCACAAAAGCTGCGACTCCACCTTCTGACCCCCGTTTTGGAAGGACCTTGACACTCTCCACCCGTCCATATCTATGGAGGAAAGGAAAAATTTGATTATTTATTGTTTTAAGTTGTATACCAATTCTATGTTTTATTGGAAATGGAAACAAGTCAATGGGTAAAGGAGCCTACTCTTCAAGTAGACCTATGCGTTTTCTAATATTGAGTCAAGGTGTGTGTGAGTGCGTGTGTATGTGCATGCAGGGGGTGGGGTCCACAAAAGGGTGTCCTTACAAAATATGTATTAGGCCAGTCATTTCCCAACCTCACCAGGCAACAGTAACCAAGCAACTACAAATCTTGGCACATAGCACGATACATACAGTTAACTGACAAAATAAAGGAAACACCAACATAAAGTGTCTAAATAGGGCATTGGGCCACAAGAGCCACCAGAACAGCTTCAATGTGCCTTGGCTGGAACTCTATTGGAGGGATGCAACACCATTCTTTCATTAGAAATTCCATCATTTGGTGTTTTGTTGATGGTGGTGGAAACCAGTCTCTGGCGCCGCACCAGAATCTCCCATAAGTGTTCATTTGGTTTGAGATCTGGTGACAGACGCACACACACACTTTAAAAACGTCCTATGCTCCTTTGAGACCCCTCTTTCAAAGTCACTGAGATGTCTTCTTCTAGTCATGGTAGCCAACGTAAATGGACAATGGTCATTTTTATACATGACCTTAAGCATGATGGGATGTTAATTGCTTAAGGGCATTTCCATCTAAAACACTTGTCAAACTCATTCCACGGAGGGCCGAGTGTCTGCGGGTTTCCGCTCCTCCCTTGTACTTGATTGATGAAATAAGGTCACTGATTAGTAAGGAACTTCCCTCACCTGGTTGTCTATGTCTTAATTGAAAGGAAAACCCCAAAACCCGCAGACACTAGGCCCTCCATGGAATGAGTTCGAAATCTCTGATCTAAAAGGACCCATGAGCCTTAACATGTGATGTTCATTGGAGCATGTCAAATTGGGTGTCAAATGAAAGCTAAGAGTATGTTGAAGTAAAGACCCCTGACAACTAATATCAACACTTCTATTTAGTTTGGGAGAAATTATTTGCCTTCTGTAAGTTTAAGAAACATTGCCTTGTGCACATATCTTTAAGATATTTTCTACTTTCTCTCCCTCATGAGGGAGGATAATGAAAGTTCATAGAAGTAACAAGTAAAGGTAGACCTACCAATTAGTTATAGTGATTTTACTGATAAAGTTTGATGATGAATTATTAAGTGATTAAAACTCGTAATTGTTACCAAATCTGTAATGGAATTGCTGCAATTGAATTGTCTACAATGGGAAATCATAGTAGTCACAAACCAGTTGGGTCACCTGCTACTGTCCTCCCTTCCAATGGCATACTGTTATGTTCAGCTCATAACTGTTGTTTCTCTTTCTGTCGTCTGGTGGTCAAAGCAAGACTGAAAACAGTCTGGACAACCTCTCTCCCTCTGCCGCCCTCTCTCTCTCTTCTTTCTTTCTCCAGTTAATGTCACCTCACCCAGCTCTTCCTGGCACCTACCCTCTTTCCATTTACTGTAACAAGCATCCTCACCCACTGAGCACCAACCGACACTGGACGTCAAAAAGTAGTTTGGGTCAGTCCGCCCTGGCCTGACCAAATCATAGACATCCATGTTTCACAAGTTTGGACAGCACAGTAGAGAACAGTACAGTAGAGCAGAGTTCAGTACAGTAGAGCACTGTAGAGTATAATGTACTGTATTGTACTGTACATATCTACTTTAAATGTACTCTACTGTGCTGTACTGTGATGTCCAAATTTATGAAACATAGATGTCTATGATTGTTTCAGATTTGGTCTTGTCCAGACCAACCAAATGTGGTCTTGTTTGGGGGCGGAGCTCATTACAATAATAGCCAGTGTGTAGAATAATACCCAGATATGTAAAAGAAGAATATTTCATATTTCTACCTTTGTGTACCTATTCATGATACATTACCATGAAGGAAGAGAATGATACTCATATCCGTAATTAGGCATTTCTGTATAATACAGATCAGGGACCCATGATGTAATTCCGTTACCGGATGTAAATCCACTTCACCTACCGTATTTCAATAGCCCAAAATAATAATAATGAAACCCAAGGTGTCATGTCATAGCTGACACCCCATTCTTTCTGCAGACATCGTTGAATCTTAATTCGGAGCAGATATTTAACAGAGTTTTTGGAAAACCTGGTCGCATAAAAAACTGAAGGAGATTTTACTGTTCTGCACAGTTCTTCCACTAAATGTGTTTTTGTGAAATGTCCTGTTTAAATTGTTCAACGTAGTCCTTGTGCATACATTTTTTACATTTTAGTCATTTAGCAGACGCTCTTATCCAGAGCTACTTACAGTTAGTGAGTGCATACCTTTTTTATTTTTTTCATACTGCATAGAGTTGTATGGTTTGTTAAACTTGGGTTGGCATACATTTTAAAGTTGAAATGTATTTATTAACTCAGGAACCACACCTGTGTGGAAGTACCTGCATTCAATATACTTTGTAGGCCTATCCCTCATTTACTCAAGTGTTTCCTGTATTTTGGCAGTTACCTGTACATACATTCAATAAATCATGTATTCTAGTTATGAGAAAGGTCCTTTCTTTAAATTATTCAAAGATGGAACTCTGATGAGGTCTGCGCAATGCAGCATAACTACACGTGACATTTCCTGGTTTGCTCTTCCGGGGCCTCATTTATAAATGTTGCCTACGCATAAAATATGCCCCAAAACATGCGTGCGCCAGTTAATGCAAAAGTTGACATTTATACGTATTTCTGTCTGTAATAAAGCCCTTTTGTGGGGAAAAACTCATTCTGAGTGGGTGATGCCCTCCCAAGCTCACCCATGGCTGTGCCCCTGCCCAGTCATGTGAAATCCATAGATTATGGCCAATTGAATTTATTTAAATTGACTGATTTCCTTATATGAACTGTAACTCAGTAAAATCGTTGAAATTGTTGCGTTTATATTTTTCTTCAGTATATACACAGTGCATTCAGAAAGTATTCAGACCCCTTGACTTTTTCCACATTTTGTTGCGTTACAGCCTTATTCTAAAATTGATTGAATTGCTTTTTTTCTCATCAATCTACACACAGTATCCCACAATGACAAAGCAAAAATAGTTTTTTTAGAAATGTTTGCTCATTTATTACAAATAAAACAAATGACATTTCACATTTACATAAGTATTCAGACCCTTTACTCAGTACTTTGTTGAAGCACCTTTTGCAGCGATTACAGCATCGAGTCTTCTTGGATATGATGCTACAAGCTTGGCACACCTGTATTTGGGGAGTTTCTCCCATTCTTCTCTGCAGACGCTCTGAAGCTCTGTCAGGTTGGTTGGGGAGCGTTGCTGCACAGCTATTTTCAGGTCTCTCCAGAGATGTTCGATTGGGTTCAAGTCCGGGCTTTGGCTGGGCCACTCATGGACATTCAGAGACTTGTCCCGAAGCCACTCCAGCATTGTCTTGGCTGTGTGCGTAGGGTCATTGTCCTGTTGGAAGGTGAACCTTCTCCCCAGTCTGAGGTCCTGAGTGCTCTGGAGCAGGTTTTCATCAAGGACCTCTCTGTACTTTGCTCCGTTCATCTTTGCCTCGATCCTGACTAGTCTCCCAGTCCCTGCTGCTGAAAAACATCCCCACAGCATGATTCTGCCACCACCATGCTTCTCCGTAGGGATGGTACCAGGTTCTCCAGACGTGATACTTGGCATTCAGGCCAAAGTGTTCAATCTTGGTTTCATCAGACCAGAGAATCTTGTTTCTCATGGTCTGAGAGTATTTAGGTGCCTTTTGGCAAACTCCAAGCGGGCTGTCATGTGCCTTTTACTGAGGAGTGGCTTCCGTCTGGCAACTCTACCATAAAGGCCTGATTGGTGGAGTGCTGCAGAGATGGTTGTCCTTCTGGAAGGTTCTCCCATCTCTACAGAGGAACTCTAGAGCTCTGTCAGTGACCATCGGGCTCTTGGTCACCTCCCTGACCAAGGCCCTTCTCCCCCGATTGCTCAGTTTTGCCGGGCAGCCAGCTCTAGGAAGAGTCTTGGTGGTTCCAAACTTCTTCCATTTAAGAATGATGGAGACCCACTGTGTTCTTGTGGACCTTCAATGCTGCAGACATTTTTTGTACCCTTCCCCAGATCTATGCCTCGACACAATCCTGTCTCGGAGCTCTATGGACAGTTCCTTCGACCTCATGGCTTGGTTGTTGCTCTGACATGCACTGTCAACTGTGGGACTTTATATAGACAGTTGTGTGCCTTTCCAAATAATGTCCAATCAATTGAATTTACCACAGGTGGACTCCAATCACGTTTTTGAAACATCTCAAGGATGATAAATGGAAACAGGATGCAACGGAGCTCAAGTTCGAGTCTCATAGCAAAGGGTCTGAATACTTATGTAAATAAGGTATGTTTTTTATTTTTAATAAATTTGCAAAGAATTCTAACCTGTTTTTGCTTTGTCATTATGGGGTATTGTGTATAGATTGCTGAGGATTTTTATTTATTTAATCCATTTTAGAATAAGGCTGTAAAGTAACAAAATGTGGAAAAAGTCAATGGGTCTGAATACTTTCCGAAGGGTCAGTCAGTTCCAGTACATAATTTACAATGTGCAGGGATACTGGAGTGATAGAGGTAGATATGTATAGGGGTAAGGTGAGTAGGCATGAGGATATATGATAAACAGTGTAGCAGCAGCGTATATGGAACCATGTTGTCCAAAATGTTATACTTTTGAATCATCTGTCCATAGAATGTTCTTCTAAGAATCTTGATGATCATCCAGGTGCTTTTTGGCAAACTTGAGTCAACTTTTTGGACGAGATGGGTCCCATTGTGCCTGGCGAAAACCAAAGACTGCATTCCACAGTAAGAACATCATACCAAAGGTCAAGCATGGTGGTGGTGGTGTGATGGTTTGGGGATGCTTTGCTGCCTCAGGACCTGGACGACTTGCCTTAATAGAAGGAACCATGAATTCTGCTCTGTATCAGAG